TTCATCAGACACTGAATCTTCTGGATGGCCTTCCCATCCTCCAGAATTGTAGGGGGTGTGCACAGTGTTGGTAACAGTGGTGCCTTCCAGCTTTGGGTCCAGTTCCTCAGATCTTGGCATAAGGATACTCAAATAGTTTACATTGTCTCCTCTCAAAAAGAAATGCATGGACTTGTCTTCCAGGACATGGGCTTTACAACTTATGAGTACTACATCTGGGACCCCAAGAAGCTGTGTATGGACTCCAAGATGTTTCTTGATGTGGTGGAGCATATCCCACATGGCTATGTGCTTGTGATTGGAACACTGTACATTACAAGTTGACACAAAGTCAGTGGGTGAAGTTGATGTCCACCATGAAGAGCAAGTGGATAATACCATTTTTTGACATTCCCTGTCAAGGTTTATCCATATGTGACCTAAAAGAAGATACTAAATCTTGCAATACTTTGTGTCTCAAGACTTTGAGTTCTTCTGTATCCAGTCTTTGTCTAGGAACTTTGGCATTTATGATGAAGGAGTGGGAATCCTAGTTGTGGTGGTGCTCCACAACCAGCACCAAGTGTGCATCCTCTCCCAGCTGATGCACCTTGCCCACGCCCTGTGGCTAAACCCTCCTACCATGGGTGCTCACATCATCACCTTCATCCTCTGCAACCCTACTCTGCAGGCTGAATGGAAGCAGAATCTAAAAGGGGTTGTAGAGAACATCATGCTGATCAAAGAAAAGGTAAAAGAAAAGCTTGGGCTCCTGGGAACCCCTGGCTCCTGGCATCACATCCATGGCTATTGTGGACTCAACTTCCAACAGGTGGAATACCCTGTTGAGAGGAAAGCATATCTTCATCCCCCCAAATGGTCAGATTAACTTCTCTCACATCAATGCCAACAATATACATTACACTGTCCAGAGCATCAACGAGGCTGTCCTCTTCACAAAAGGCTCAGAGCAATGTCTTTTGAAAGTAAATGACCTCTGATTGGAAAGCTGTAGTCTTTGCAAAAAAAAAAAAAAAAAAAAAAAATTCTTCATATGATCTCTTAGGGTATATTCTCTCATCTCTCTATTGGCACAGATTAATACCTTTCTTGTTAATACAAGTTACATATGCACATATTTTAATCTTTTTCTAGTAGATTGCGAGCTTCTGGATGGTAAGAGAAAAATGTGAGTCACAATACAGTACTTTACAAATATGAAAAATATGAATGCTTAATAAACATCTATTTAATGGATTAAACTATTAAAAATTAACCTTATTTGGCATAGGATTTCTAGACTCATAGGTCATGGAAATGTCATAGAATATTTTGATAACAGTAAGGACTTCCATGATGTTTCTTATGAGGATCTTTGTGATAAGATGTAGATATTGGTTTCTTAGTATAGTTAGTGAATATGTGGTGTTAAACGCCAAAAATAAATAAATAAATATATATATAAATAAGTAAAAGGCAAATGGATCAAATTAAAACAGGACAGTTCTTCTGACACTTGGCAGTAACCCAGTGGTTTAAAATTTAGAAAGCATGACTTTATTATCTATATCTTCTAAGGACAAGGTATATACAGCAAGGGTGTAACCATATGTGTTATGAATGTGTGTCTTTTTGGGATATTCAGCATCCATTTTCCCTTCCTAAAGGTACCCAGATTTCTTTCTCAGAAATTGTGTACAGTTTTGGTGAGACTGTCAGTCCAACTACCTGTTTCCCCATATCAAAGCCAAAGGAGCCATATTGTCTTCACCGCCAGACCAGAGACACTTTATGTACGTTTGGCCCAGTCTACTCTTTTTTCCCATGACTTTGAGTCTTCAGCAGATGACTACAGAAGACTGGAGTTCATTCATGTCATTATTAGCACCCCAGCTGTATTGTATTGTATACCCACTAGTGCCTGGTATTCCTAGTTCCACCTGTTTCTAATCCTGGTTCTCCAACTTCCATACATTGATTTTTGAGTTCCTAATCTTTGTAATAAATGATTTTTATTTGCTTATATTAGAGAGAGTTGTTTTTGTTGCTTGTGAGCTAAGTGCCTGAAGTGATGTACCATGTGATCTTGCCATTCCAGGAGGGTGAGGGAGGGGTTTACATGGTCTTTTCAGTTGACCTGTTTAGTTGACTATATGTCCAATGTGAGCAACCCATGAGAGATGTCTGCCATAGTGCTTAACACAAGGTTAGGCTGCACTCACAGACCTACCCAGATCTCAGGAAGTAAGCCTAGCTGTACACTGTGCTGATCAGCAACAACTTGAGTATGGTGTCTGGTGTGAGCAAGGTATTCTTAAGATTACTGACAAACTGTAAAGGCGTCACAGGAATACGTATCTCAGGTGGTGAGAACTCTATGGACAATATGACAGAAATAGTTGTTTAGGTTGGAGAACTGAAAACGTAGGGGAGTAGTCTTATTTTATAATTTCTACATTTCTAGAAGTAGGTAGCCATTCATCAGACAGAAGAGATTTTTGAATGACAGCCAATTCATAAATTATAAGGCACTGCACTAATGTGATTATATTGAGGTGTTACTAATTTATTTGTTGAACAAATTAATGTACATTAATGTAATTGCTATGGGTCAAATGTGTCCCCCAAAGTTCATGTGTTGGAAACTTGATCCCCACTTTAACAGTGCTAAGAGGATGGGAAATCTGATCATATTTGAAAAGTGGGGACTTGGAGGTGATTGGATCATGAGAACTGTACCCTTGTGAGTGGATTAATCCACTCGTCGAGTAATGAGTTATTACAGGTGTGGACTGGTGGCTTCACAAGGAGCACGAGAAAACTTTCCCCATTTTCTTGCCATGTGATACCGTGCATCACCACGGGACCCTGTAGAGAGCTCCCAACCAGAAGGCCCTCACCAGATATGTTTCCTGGACCTTGGACCTCCCTGCCTCCAAAAGAGTAAGAAATAAATTTCATTTTCTTTATAAATTACCTAGTTTCAGGTATTCAGTTATAAGCAACAGAAAATGAATCAATATAGTAATCTACATCACTAGTGTAATCTAATATGGGGTTAGCTTGTTGCAATTACTTTTTCTTTGGGAATTAAGACATTCCAGTATGGTACCCATTAGCAACATGTGGCTACTTAAATTAAATTAAATTTAAAACTTAGTTCATCAGTTGTACTAACCACACACTGAATGCTCAATCGCCACACATGGCTACCATATTAGCACAAATAATTTCCATCATAACAGAAATTCCTATCAGCCAGTGCAGCCCAAGAAAAATAAACATTATGGTAAGATTATTAAGTCTATAATCTTTTATTTTTCAGTGACATTGAAAATCTTGATTTTTTTTTTTGTCTTTTGTCTTTTTTCCATGTCCGGCAACGGATCGCAACCCTCAGTGTTGCCCCCGTACCGGACCGGGGACCGGCAACGGGATTGCAAGCCTTGGCCTTGCTCCCGTGCCTCGCTCAGCCAGTGAGCGGGAGCCGGTCTGTATGTGGGATCCGAACCCTCGGACGGGAGCACCGCCGCGCTTCCCAAGCGGCGCACTATCCAGTGCGCCACCGGGCCGGCCCAAAATCTTGATTTTTAAATACTATATAGTGCTTCCTAGTTTAACAAAACTGGAGGTGTCTTTTATATGATGGACTAACAACAAATGTCTCATGAAAAACTGCTGAAATCTTTACTCCTGATTGTACTGATGTGGTAGATGGATGTCCCAGCTCCTCAGCTCCCAGTCTGGGCCAGTTCTCTCTGCACCACATACCTGGGACCTGCAGCTGGAAGGGGATGAGAAGGAGGAGGAAGTGGTGTACAGGGGCTGTTTCTTGGCCTTAGACTCTTTCCTAGGCTCAGGGCAGTGCTCCACCTGAAGATATACACCTTTAAGGCAGAACTTTCTTCCTGCCTTCTAGAGGCACTTGCATTCCTCTTGTAACCCAACAGGCAACTCTGATCTCTTCCTTTGACAGCAAGGTGACAGGCCTGAGCAGGGAGTCTCAGCTGTTCCCTGATGACTGTGTTCTCACCTGTATCAGAGGTCCCAGACTCCACAGAGGAAGTCAAGTTCATGTGTTCCAGCCTAGGTAGGCATGGGTACTTTCCATATTCTGGTATGATAAAATTGCTCCTTCTGGAAACATTTTTATGGTTTGCACAAATGCAATAGACCACTTAATAATAACTACTCTTTAAATGATTGTCTTAAAATGGCTTGTACTTATGAATGAGAATTCCTGATTTTAAAAAATTTCACTTGATTTGTATCACATTTTAATAAAACTTGGTTTACTTAAAAAAAAAAAGTTGATCCTGAAGATTCCATCAGGCTGTGTGTGTGTGTGTGTGTGTGTGTGTGTGTGTGTGTGTGTGTGCGCGCGCGCGTGCCTGTATTTATCTACTTACTGGTGTTAGCACCACGTTCTTTTTTTTTTTTTGTC